AAACCTAAAAATTTAGTAAAAACCCACTACAAACAAGGATTATGATTTCACCTTCTCTTTTCCTTCGAGCCCGTTCGGCTGGTCAGGTTTAGGCTTAACAATCTGCAACATTTTTAACCGCGGCACCGCTCCGGAGTCCGGACAGTGGGAGGCACGCCGTCCCCATGGGCCATAACGGGAACGGACACCGGCGCTCGTGTTCCATGACGCTGGCACAGGAACGCGGCGGTGGTCCGTGGGTGACGGACACCGGCCGGGTGCCAGGCGCGGCGTCATGCACGAACGCGGCTACAGTGCGTCTGTGCGGGTCCGCGTACGTATGTATGGTACGATACCGGCGGGCGAGCACGCAGACCAGCCCAACACCCACCCACCCACCGGCACCGGCCACCGGCCACCGGCCACCGGTGGTGGTCGACACTCGACACTGGTACGGCCAGGCGACGCAGGCAGCGCCAGTGGACGAAACGAAAGGTGGCATAACGCCTTCCTTCCCAGTTCCCTCTCACCGGCCTGCTGGGCCCAACAGGGACGCACGGGCACTCTCGAACCCCGGGCGGGGGAGCAAAGCAACAAGCAAGTGGAGTGGAGTGGAGTGCACCGACCCTTGGAAGAACTGCGTGGATGAACAGGCCGTCGCAGTGGATCCCGGGAGGCCAGGCGGGCCCCGCGGCGCCTGCCCGTCACGTCCGCCTCGGCAGACTCACCACCAGCACTGTGGCCTGCGCCTGCCTGCGTGCGTGCGGGTGTTGCACGAGGGCGGGGAGAATCCTCTCTTCCTCTGGCGGACAGACGCAGACGGCAGACGGCCTGCCGGTTGCCGCTGACGACACGGCGGTGATACAGCTGGATCGGGCCCCAGAGCGGCGGAGCCCGCCGGCTTGCCTGAGCGAGCCCATTCCTTCCGCTGCCCTTTCCACATGTAGCCGCGCGGCGCATAGAAGAAGCGTGTCGCTCGCCGTCGCCATGACCATGAGCCATCCATGCGACTCGGTGGGCCGGCGGTTGCTGTTGTAGTACTACGTAGTATACACGTACGGCGGAGCTACGAGTGGTCCGTGCGATCTTGGACCTTTCCCATCCACCGAGCAAGCGTGCATGATCAGGACAACAGCTGCGAGCACGAAAAACACGAATAAGCCACTACGCCAGGACCCCGCGGCCGACCGCGCCCCCGGCGGGCTCGGCGCGGCGACCCTCCCGGCCGGCAGGCAGCACGCAAGCTGATCGACGTACGCGCGCGGCCGCGACGGCGACACCCTCCTCCCGGGTCCCGGCCACGAGCCACCCTCAGCTCGCGCGGCGTATGTATTCATGCGCATCCGGGTGCTGCGCGCGCGGTGTTAGATTTCATGGCACACGGGTTGAGCGGCTTGCAGACAACGCGCACGCCTTAGGCGATAGCGGCGTGGCCGCGGCGGCCGGGGAATAGCTCTCTCATGGCCGCCCGCTTCGACTGGAGCCTCTTGAATGCCGACTCATCGGAACGCTCAGCATTATCGGACTGCATTCCCATCTTACGTACTGCCATGCATGCGAGGTGGCCACTAGCTCCTAGTTTCGCCCTCGCTGATGATAGCCTAGTACGTACGGGCCAGAACACGCGTAACAGGCCACGGACGGACGGACAAGTAGCATAGTACACAAAAACCGGCCGTAGTTATGATTACAAAGCACCATGTACTGTAGATGTGGTCGCAGAGTCGCAGTACAACGAGAAGCTGGCCAGCCCTAGTTTAGCTAGGATTAATTGTGCGTGTCACTCGTCATGAGACAGTGAAGCGAACAGGTGCATATTAAGCCGGTCCTCCAGCTAGTCAACATAGCCAGTACTAGGTGCATCAGCTTTATCAGTGATCTACTGATCTAGTAGTACTACCACATAATGCTACCACGTTGACGGCTATTTGTTGAATGTTTCTGAGTTGATAAACTTGATTGATACTTGTTTATTATAAAAAAAAATATTATTAATTAATTAATAAGTCCTGACTTAAAATCAATGAGCAAACAACAGTTCAGGATCCTCTTATCACTTTTGCTACTAGGTGACAACGCTGGATGCGGAGTGGCGTGTCTGATTTGGTAACTTGTTTTGTTTCCTCTATGGCTGATCCGATCCTCTGGTGATCAGAATCGTAGAATTGGATTCTAGTTTTAGATTTCTAGCACTTTCAAAATGTTGAACTCTGTAATTTCGTTACTGTCGTAATGAAACTCGATATTACTGTCGTGGAAAAAACCTCACATGCTATCAATATTCCGTGGAATACCAGAGAATCTTCTGACTCTATAATACTACTCCTAATGCCCTCTTTTCCTGGCAGGTTTACTGCTTATTAAGTGTGTAGCAGTAGCAATATGATGTCTTCGTTTTTAAGTAATATATACTAGAAGATACCACACGTTGCTGCGGAACTTTTTTAAAAATAAAACCGTTATATGTATGAGTTAAACCTACATGGTTTTTACATCCACTCTTATTAAAATTGGACAAGGCAGTCAAAGAATCCACTTTTGAGGCCGGTCATGTTTGGTAATGACATATGCGAGCATTTTACATATGCAAATTTAGTAGGTTACTTTTTATTATCTTTTTAATAATGACATAGGTAAGTAATTTAAATGAAGATTTAATTTGTTACTTCATATTAGTTTTCATAGTGGCATAGATGGGTAATTTTGAAGAAAACACAAGATGTTCGTTAAGGGTATTTTTTTTATAATGTGAACTAGTAGATACCTTGCACGTTGTTGCGGGGATCACGAAGAATTTAGAATGAAATTAAATAAAAATAACGTGGATAGCTTACATTAAGAGGTTGAAAAATTAGTGGGATTAGGTTTACAAGAGATATAGATAAATGGATAGTTCAGATGCAGATTGAGGGCACTATATATTAAACTATTCTAATAATAATAATCGTGGTGGTTGATTTCTAAGAAAACCTACTACCGGAATCAGAAAAGGGTTTGCCGAGTGTAACACTCGGCAAACGACACTCGGTGAAACTTTTAACGGCAAATAGACTTTGTCGAGTGTTTTTTATCAGACAATCGGCAAAGACTTTGCCGACTGCCCAAAATACACTCGGCAAACATTTTTTCGGAAAAAAAGACACCACCGGCCGGTCTCCGCCGCCAAAAAAAAAAAAAAAAGCCACCACCGGCTGGTCTCCGCCGGCCGCCGTCGGTCTCCTCGGCGGCGCCCTTCCCCTGCGCTGCGGCCCAGCTTCACGCTCTCCGTCTCACCTCCACTCCCCGGCTTCACGGCCGCCGCCACGAGCCACCACCACCACGCCACCGCCGCCCACCACCACCACGCCACCACCCGCCACGCCCGGAAGCTCCACCACCGCCGCCACCGCCACCACCACCACACCACCACCGGCCACCACCACCACCGGCCACGCCGAATCCGAGAAAGAGAGGGAGAGGAGAGGCGGCCGCCGGATCCGATCCGGAGAGGAGAGGGGGCCGCCGGATCCGGGAAGTGAGGAAGAGAGGGAGAGGAGGGGCGGCTCACGGATCTGGGAAGAGAGGGAGAGAGAGGGGGGGCGCCCGGGAGGGGGGGGGCTGGGGGGGGGGAAGAAAAGGGAGGGGCGCTAGGGCGGGTGTAGAGGAAGGAGGGTGGGGCGCTGGGTGTGTTAAAGAAGATATTTTTTTGTTTGCCGAGTGTCCTAGATTTAGGCACTCGGCAAAGTATTTTTTCATTTTTTTTCATTTTTTCAGAAAAAAGATTTTATTTCTTTGCCGAGTGTTCTATATCTGAGCACTCGGCAAAGTTTTTTTTTTTTTTCTTCTTCTTCTTTTCTAGAAAAAAGAATTTATTTCTTTGCCGAGTGTTTTTTCTTTTTACACTCGGCAAACCTTATCTTTGCACCTCTCTTTGCCGAGTGTTTTTTTTTTACACTCGACAAATAACTTGTTCACCGAGTGTCCGAAGGAAATACACTCGACAAACATAAAAACACTCGACAAATTTGAGGATTCCAGTAGTGTCCATGGCTGCCACTGTTATTGCCAATGATGATTGACTTGTACTGATTTGATACCCATATGTTTTCAATTTTAATAAAAGTTTGTAGGATTTTTTTTTCTAGTACATCATGCAACAACACTAACGAAACGTTGCAATTTTAAAATGTGGTGATTGAAATCTTGAATTTGCTCGGTTTTGAGAGGTTAAATATAATTACTAAAATAAGGCAACAATTCTAAAAAGGTACGGCAATCATCATCGACGCATTACATCACACACATTTGTATTTGTATAGAAATCAATGCCATGCCAAGACGCGCGCGCGCGCACACACAACTGGGAGCTCCCGAGTAATAAGGTGTTGAAGGACAACTGAAAAAGAACGTATACTCGGCTATTCCATCTACTGGCTTAGCTAGGCTCAGTCCCTCCCCTCATGCTTCTACACTTGGCTAGTAAAAAGAATCGGTCACTGCAAATTTAGCACTCCAATTCACCATCATCGATCTTTCTTGCCTGCATACATACAGCATATATGGCTGGGGGCTAATCAAGTAACTAGATCCGATCCCAAATGATCAAAGTCCAAGCATCCCTCCCTAGTCCCTCCTCTACAAAGCCCCGAAATAAGCTCAATCTCAGTCACCAGCTCCTAGGTAGATACACATACATACATACATACATACATACATACATACATACATACATACATACATACATACATACATACATACATACATACATACATACATACATACATACATACATACATACATACATACATACATACATACATACATACATACATACATACATACATACATAGTGCTACTACATAAGCTACTACATAAGCTAAGCCTTGGATGTATAGTACTCATATGGCAAAGGTAGCTAGCTAGCTAGATAGAGGCTGCTAGATCGAGCCCGAGCTACTTGTCCTAGCTAGATCCACCGGCAACTGCAAGCAAGGCGCATGTGTTGAAGTGGAGCATGCATGCACATGCATGCGCGCGCTCATTCATGTGGCTCCGACCCCGAGGAAATCTATGAACGCTGGCCGCGGCGCCGCCGCGGCAGCTTCAAAATGAGCGCCGCCGGCGCCCTGCTGTCTTGTCGTCGTCCCTTCAAAGGCGGCGGCGGCCGCGCCCCCGCTGTTGCCCAAGACGAACTGCGCCTCGTGGTGGCCGCCAGCCACGCCGACGCCGACGCCGACGCCGACGCAGTCGATCCAGCTGCCACCGTGAACGGGCAGCAGGAGCGGCTGATGCGGCTCCCCGTACCGGCCGGCGCCACCGCCGGCAGCGTCCGACGACGACGGCCAGGGAAGCAGGCGCCTGCTGTCGGCGTGCGCCGCCGCGCTGCTGGGCCCTGTATACAAGCCATGGATCAAAAGACAAGCAGATTTTTGCAGCTCGCGTGAGAGACAGTGTGGTGTTATGTTTTAGCGACTGAATAATTGAAGTGGTGGCTGTATGTGTGTTGCGCATCTTGGAAGCTAGAGACCACCACAAAGCGACGCCGCCAATCAAGAAACCAATAATAATAATCAGGAGGGGAAATTAAGAAGCAAACAAAAAAGCCTCCAAGAAAAGAACACGCACGCGCACACATGAGATCTTTGTATGTGTGGTGTGGACGGCCAACAGAAGAAGGCACGGCACAGCAGGTGAGGTGACCATAGTCCATAGGTGAGTGTGAGTGAGAGCAACAGCCAACAAGGGGCAGCTAGCAGAGCGCCCGCATTGATGGCAGCAGCATCGCCTTGGCACGCCATCGAAAGCCTCACTGCTCGCTGCGCCGCGCGGACTCCCAGCCCCAGCCCCTGCCCCTGCCCCTCCCTCATCTCTTGGCTTGGCAGTTGGCAGTTGGCAGTGTGTGTGCGTGTGTGCAGCAGCGGCACTGTGGCGCCGTGCTGAAAGTCCAAGTCTTCCCGGGCGGCCTGTGCATGCCTGGTCTCCGATGCCGACGAGATCTCGCCCGCAGCGCTTCCTATTTCAAGCAAAGGCATTTACGCCCGCCAGGGGCCGGTGGCCCGGTGGCAAGCAAGGGCAAGGCTGCCTGGCTACCAGTGCGCGCGGGATCGGACGGATCGGAGGCCGTGCGGCGAGCAGTGCACCGCCCGATCGGGGCCTCCGTTGATTCCGCCCGTGTCTGCCTACCATGGAATCATGGTTCATCGATGCTGTGCGCCTGAATGCCTGAATGTACTGAGCGCCCAACCGTGCGGACTTCTCCTCCTCATCCTCCCTCTACAGTGGAAACGCTGGACGCTGCAGCCGCAACCGTACAGCGCCCCCAGGTAGATGGGGATAGGTCTCGTCACACGGGCAGCTGTAACAAAAAGGTCGGCTTGGTCGTCACACATACCTACAGTAAAAAATGAATCCGGCCATGGCGGCCACCCAGGATCCATCACTGGCTGGGACTGGGAGAACAGTCTCGTGACACTCGCGGATAGATGGGCTCGGGGAGCTTCTCGGCCGGGCTCATCTGTCAGCCAGTGTTGCTTGCCGTTGCCGGTCGGACACGGTGGGGGAGGGAACAATCAGCCGGGAGGGAGTTACTGTGCCAGGGGAGGGGTCCGCCTGTCATGCATACATACACTCCGTCCGTGGTGTACGAGTGCGAATGCGGTGTCGTGTCGTGCTAGGCAATGGCGGTCGGGAAGGGAGGATTGCCGGAGTGCTCACCAGGGAACAAGCAGAAGGGAGGCGGCGGCGGCGGGTCCTCGGCCGAAGCTGGCGGGAACGACGGGAAGCTGCTGCAGTATTGGCCGAAGCCGAAGGCGCCGTAGGGGTCCGCCGCGGCGAAGCTGTATGCGGCGTCGTGGGCGTGGGCCGCGGCGGCGGCGGCCAGGAGGTGGTGGTGGCCGACGACGTCTCCCGTGCTGCCCGCGCCCGGCGGCATTGTTGCGACGACCGCGGCGGAGGCGGCCTCGAGCTTCCGCTGGACCGCCTGGTTGAGCTTGCGGCGGCGGTACGCCGTGGACTGCTCGCGGTACTTGCGCGCCATGATGACGTGCCAGTGGTTCTTGACGGCGTTGTCCGTGCGCCCGGGGAACAGCCGCGCGATCATGGCCCACTTGTTGCCGTAGAAGCGGTGCGCCGCCATCAGCCGCTCCTCCTCCTCGTCGCTGAAGGGCCGCTTGCTGATCCGCGGGTCCAGCTGGTTGAACCACCGGAGGCGGCAGCTCTTCCCTGCATGCGCAGCAAGCAGCATTACATTACACCACATGTGTGTGTCTCTCTCTCCATCGGTGGAGCGCGCGCCCTCGAAGATCGCCAGATGAATGTGGCCAGCAGCCAAAGCACTAGAAGATGATGATGGACAGACAGATCGACACGTGAGATCGACCGACGTGCGTACCGGATCTGCCGTCGAGCTTCTCGGCGATGAGGTTCCAGTTCTGGGGCCCGTAGAGCGCGACGAGCTCCCGGAGCTTGGCGTCCTCGGCGGGGCGCCAGTGGCCGCGCGCCGCGAGCCGGGACTGCCCGCTGCTGCTGCTCTCCTGGAGGTCGGCGGCATTGCCCCCGCCGCAGCCCCCACCGCCACAGGCGGCAGCGGTGGTGGCGGCCGTGTCCATGGTGGTGGTGCCGGCCGTGAGCACGCGGCCGCCGCCCTTGGACGAGGACGAGGACGAGGCCTGGTCGGCCGCTGCTGACGCCACCCGCAGCAGCCACGTCGGGGCCGGCGACGAGCACGGCATCGTGCCTGCGTGGCCGGCCGCGGGAGACGAGATGAGGGTGTGCGCGTGCGAGCAGGAGGACAGGTACTGCTCGCTCTTCTTCCGCAGCAGCATAAACCCGCACGGCTGGAGCTAGAGGAAGAGGCCAGAGCTACGCCTACACTACAGGGAGAGGGAGGCAGGCATCTCACTTCTCACCCCCACGCACGCACGCACGCACCCTCTCGTTCGTTCCCGTCAGATCAGATGGATGGATCGCTCGGCCGCACCGCACGGCGCGCGCGCTCCCTGTCTAAACCGCAGGAGGAGGGAGGGGAGGGCCGGCCGGAGCGCGTGTGCTTTTCACTGTTGGATAGGCTAGCAGCTGCTCCTGCTGGGGCTGAGCAGTGCGGGCGGGAAGGGGGAGGGAGGGATCGTCTGTGCTGGGCAAGCTGGCTCGCGGGTCGCCGACACCCATTTATGCGCGCCGGTGGTGGCTGCTCCGGGTCGGGGATTGCAGGGCACAAGTCGCGCCTTGTTTGCAAATTTTTGCGTACCACTTTCGTTTTATTTAACAAATTTCCGTCGTCCGTTATTTGATAAGCGGGATTATTGGGCACGGTTTTCCAACGACAATCAATGGGACGGATCAATTGTAGACAATCAAAAGATTCATCTCATAATTTTCAACTAAACTGTATAATTAGTTATTTTTTTTATCTACATTTAATACTCCATACAAACAACTAAAAATTGATGCGATGAAAAAAAATAAAAAACTTACAATTTAGATGGCATCTAAACAAGGCCTCGATAGCTACGGCCGGGGTGGGGGCGTGGGGCGACCAGCCACCAGCTTATGTTACTCCACTCTAACATTTATCTTTGGGTGTGTTTAGCCTTCCAAATTCCTAACTTTGATACTATGTAAAAAGAAGATTCTATCATATCAAATTTACGGTATATATATATAGAGTATTAAATATTGATGAAATCAAAAACTAATTACACGGTTTGATTGTATTTTACGAGATATGCATACAGATACAGACTGCTTGCTTTGGATCATCAATCAGTTTGCAAAAGAAAAGAAAGTTACTAGTCTATCAACATACACGTACTGTATATGGCAAAAACTTTTTGAAAAAGACCAAGTGCAAAGCACGGAACTGGAAAATACACTCCTACAGTGCATCATGGTGTTTTTACAAGGGTGTCATGTGTGATGAGTGCGGTAAAACTGAAGGAGAGGGGGTGACCTAGCAAGGTGCAGAAGATCTTACTGCACGCAAGGCTTGTCACTGTCCCAGCTGTCTACTACTACCACCACCACTGCTGCCATCTCTCATGGCTTTCACCGAGTTTAACAAAGCATCGGGCGTCCCCACCGCACGTGTGGATGTCATCTCACCACATGTGTGGCTTGCAAGGACGATGCACAGCCAGACTCCACACACCAGAGAGAGAGAGAGAGAAGGTAGCCTCCCTGTAGCGCTGCCTGCCTGATCGTCGATCTATATTCAGTTTTCACGCTCAACAGTGGATCGGTACGTCCGAACGTACGTGTACATGCGCCCAACAGTTAGAACCGCATGTACACGGACGCCTTCCTTCCTCGCCATGGAAATCTCGACGGGAATGGGTCATCTTTCGTATTAATTACTGCGTACTGTCATGCATGCTGATGCTGGTGATAGACTAAAAAAGATCACCGGCGATAGCTTTTTGAATAAACAGTAAATCTGAAGACATCTTAGTACAGATTAATAGATAGAGTGAGAGAGAAGTAAGGGGGTGTAAATCATCGTCCGCCTTTGAGGAAGACGGATCCGCCATCGCGGTGCTTGGTAAAGACCCAGTGGTGGTATTGTGTCGAAGGGCAGCGGTGCAATGACGGCATTGGTCGGTGGCGGTGCTTTTCGTCGCTAGCAGCGCCCCTATGTAATTGGTTAGGTTTAGGACTGTAGGTAGGGTGCTAGGCGGCTCAGACAAACCTCGTGCTTGACGGCTTGACCCCACCTCTTATTTATGGCGCTGTGCAACGGGGGTCCAACAACCATATTATGGTTGGGCGTCCCCGATCAAGACGCGATTCCAAGGGCTCAATTGACCGGTAGAGAGATCAACTAACATTCTCCCTCTTGATCTCATTTATAACTTAAACTTAACTTACTTACTTTCTCGTGTTCCCGTTCCATCACATATCAGTGCATAGAGCGTGCCTCATCGTCACGGTCTCTTGCCATTAGATTAAACAGCTACAATGCACCTCTCTATTTTGAAATAGTTTCTTAACTAGACCCTTCTTGTCCAGAAATCATAGGCTTTCCCTTAAACCCATGTCGGCTAAGTGTTCTCTGAACACGCTGGGTGGTAAGCCTTTTGTAAGCGGATCCACGAGCATCTTTTCTGTTCTTATATGCCCAAGACTAATTATATGACCCCAGACTTTATCTTTCACAACATAATACTTTATGTCAATTTGTTTGGTAACACCACTTAACTTATTGTTGTGAGCATAACATATTGTTGGACTATTATTGTAGTATAACTTAAGTGGTTTATTTATGTCGTCTACCACTTTTAATCCGGGCATGAATTTCTTTAGCCAATTCACCTGTCCTGTGGCCTCATAACATGCTACAAACTCAGCATACATTATGGACGATGTAGTGACGGTTTGCTTTGAGCTTTTCCACGATATAGCTCCTCCTGCGAGAGTAAATATGTATCCTGACGTTGACTTTCTTTCATCTCCCGCATAATCAGAATCTGTATACCTCTCTATGTGCAGGAAATCAGATCTTTTGTACGTTAGCATGAAACCCTTCGTACCTTGCAGGTAACGCAAAACTTTCTTTACTAATTTCCAGTGTTCTATTCCTGGATTACTCTGATATCTGCCAAGCAACCCGGTAACAAACGCTAAGTCAGGACGAGTACACACTTGAGCATACTGTAAACTTCTGACAGCTGAACTATATGGAACCGCTTTCATTTGATCGATCTCATATTGGTTTCTTGGACATTGAAATTCCCCACATCTGTCGACCTTGATTATGGGAGCAGGTGATGACTTACAATTTTACATACTGTATTTCTTTAGAACTTTTTCTAAGTATGCATTTTGTGATAATCCTAAAACCCTTTTTTCTCTATCTCGATGAATCTCTATTCCTAGGACGAACGAAGCTTCACCGAGATCCTTCATATCAAACTTTGAGGACAAAAACTTCTTTGTTTCTAGTAGTAGATTGACATCAATGCTAGCGAGCAAGATGTCATCCACATACAAGACTAGAAAAATATATTTCCCATTCTTGAACTTTACATAAACGCAATTGTCTTCTATATTTTCTTAAAACTCAAACTTTTTTATTATACTATCAAACTTTAAATACCACTGTCTTGAAGCTTGTTTTAATCCGTAAATTGATTTCTTTAGGCGGCATCCCATACGTTCTTTTCCTTCCAAAACAAAACCTTTCGGTTGTGCCATGTAAACATTTTCCTCCGAATCCCCATTTAGGAACGCCATCTTTACATCCATCTAATGTAATTCTAAGTCGTAATGTGCTACAAGCGCCATTATGATTCTAAAAGAATCCTTATATGAGACTGGAAAAAATGTCTCATTATAATCTATGCCTTCTCTTTGCGTGAAACCTTTCGCTATAAGTCACGCTTTAAACCATTTTATAATTCCTTTGGAGTCATGTTTGGTTTTGTAGACCCATTTACAACCTACTGTCTTAGCTTATTTAAAAATTATTTCTAAGTTTCAAACTCTGTTGGTTTTCATTGATTTCATTTCATCTTCCATGGCTTCAAGCCACTTGGATGAGTGAGCGCTTCTCATGACTTCTTCAAATGAGGTGGGATCACCCTCCATTTGAAATTCCTCACTTTCATAAACTTCATAATCATCAGGAATAACTGATCTCCTGACTCTTTAAGACCTTCTAGGGGCCTCGTTAGATCACGCTTGTTCTATATGAGGCTGTTGTTGCTCTTCCTCATGTGTGACAATGGGTTCTTGGCGATCCTGAAAGACAGGTTCCTCATGTTCATTCATTGTTATCATAGGAGAACTAACAATAGGTGCTGTTACTATAGTGTTTTATACTGTTGGTACAATAACAACAGGTAGCGTGAAGAATAGCTCCTGAACCATAGGAGTGGGCACATATACTTGCTTATCTTCAAAACTTATTTCTCACGATACTATGCTTCCCTTGATCATATCATCCTCTAAGAAGACAGCATGTCTTGTTTCTACAAACGTCGTTTGTCTGTCAAGACAATAGACGCGATAACATTTTGACTTTTCTAGATAGCCAATGTAATGGCAGATGACTGTCTTGGAGTCCAACTTCCCTATGTTTGGGTTAAATATTTTTGCCTCAACTGGACAACCCCACACATGTAAATAGTTTAGTGAGGGTTTCTTTTCTGTCCACAACTCATACGGTGTTTTATTCACTGACTTACTTGGCACTCGATTAAAAATATGAATGGTGGTTTTTAACGCCTCCATCCATAAACTTATCGGTAAGGTAGAGTAACTTATCATGCTTCTCACCATATCCATTAAGGTACGGTTGCGTCTTTCAGTTACTCCATTCTACTGAGGCTCGCCCGGTGTAGAATACTGGGCTACTATGCCATTTTCCTGTAAGTACATAGCAAAGGGTCCAGGAACTTGACCATATGGAATGTGTCGACCGTAGTACTCTCCCCTGCGGTAGAACCTTACTACCTTAATCTTTAGGTTCTGCTGATTTTCTACTTCAGTCTTGAATATTTTAAATTTATCTAATGCTTTCAATCTTTCCTTAATTGGATAAATATAGCCAAAACGTGAGTAGTCATCTGTGAATGTTATAAATAAATCATAATCATTCACACTCTTCACAGGAAAAGGACCACAGATGTCTGTGTGAATTATTTCTAAAATTCCTGCGCTTCGTTTGACATCTTTCTTTATTTTTTAACATACTTTCTTTTAAAGCAATCTATGCATTGTTATAAATCTGAAAATT